TCCCTAGTAGGCCTGACCTACCAGACCTCTGCACGTCCTCTAATTTACGCCTTGTTCATTAGTCACTTCTGGGAAGTACATTTACACACTGCCTCTACCCCCCCGATAAAAAAAATTATAATCCCTGAGCTTGAAATAATTGGCGACCCCAAAATAGCTCTTGCAGGCATGGCTGCCGAGCTGGGAGGGCTTCAGTTAGGAGGCACTCGGTCTCGGGCAAGCTGAGGTACTCAAAATCAATGGATGTTTCGGAAAATGTAGGGCAATGTGGCTCAGTCCCGTTGGGCGAGCGGCCTGCGCTCCCACTCAGCGCTTCTTAATTTAGGTGAAACTGATTGCTTTCACCTTATATAATTACGACAATACTTGGCAGCCCCATTGCTGCTTCTGTCTGACGCTGCAAAGCGCTGTTCAAACACCGAGTGTAAAATGTAGGCGCTGAGGGTAAACGCTGTCACTTGCACTGGGCAGTGCCCTTCTGGGGCCGAAGGCTGCAGCGGTGCTGCCGGAGCCCCGGGATGCAGGAGCCCTGGGACGTGGGGGCACCGGGATGCAGGAGCCCTGGGATGTGGGAGCACCAGGACACAGGAGCCCTGGGATGCGGGAGTCTCAGGACACAGGGGCACTGGGACGCAGGAGCTCCAGGACGCGGGGGCACTGGGATGCAGGAGCCCCGGGATGCAGGAGCCTCTGGGATGCAGGAACCCTGGGACATGGGGGTACCTGGTTGCAGGAGCCCCAGGATGCAGGAGCCCTGGGATGCAGGAGCCCTGGGACGTAGGGGTACCGGGACGCAGTGGCACCGGGATGCAGGAGTCGTGGGACATGGGGGCACCAGGATGCAGGAGTCCTGGGACACGGGGGCACCGGGATGCAAGAGCCCTGGGACGCGGGGGCAGCAGGCACCAGCCGCTCTCTGTGAGCAGCCCTAGAAAGCTGTAGGTTAAACCCAGGAGCGTCTGCAGAGCCCGGGCTGCGCGCGGCGCCCAGGCGAAGGGCAGAGCGGGTGCCGGTGCCCAGGCCGGGTGACGGGATGGGTGACACCTCGCAGCCATGCCCGAGTTGCTCACTGTCCCCAGCCACGGGCTGTCCTCGCCGCCGCCCGCCCGCCTTCCCTTTCCAACAGCCCCGGGAACTGTTTATTCGGCCCCAGCTTGGCTGTGCCCAGCGGGAAGCAGCGCAGGGGTGATGGCGGGGAAGCCCACGTCCCGTGCCGCCAACAGACACCCCCACGCACCTCGGGGCGGGGGGTGTGTGTGCTTTGCCCACGGACACGCGTGGGCGCCCAACGCAGGCCTGCAGCGGGGGAGCCGCTATCAGCCGAGGCGATACCGGGTTCCGGGCTCGGCGCGGCCGG